TCTTGTTCGGGGCCGAAGAAGAACCCCCCCCACCCCGCTATCGGCGCTATCTGGGATCGTAGGGGAGGAACCAAGCAATGAACAGCTATGCATCTAGCAAAAGCTATGCCAAATCCAATGCAGCGGAAGGTGCTAACTTTGGAGACATATGGTAGTTTCCATATGTAGGGGGACTCCAACATGGACCCCAAAAGACCATGGTCCTTCTTGTGGGGATCCCAAATGGTGATGCAATCCCACTTTCCATTTCAATGTCCACGATCTTCTGGGTTTGATTCCGCCTTGTTTTTGGAATCACACCACTAGAATCCTGAATTTGGGGACCCCCCCCGCCAATATCTAAACCTGGGCGTCCACATATCTACACCTACACCCTAAGCCGAAACCAAATCAGGATCCTAGACCCCAGTTTCGCGTGCCTTCGGGCCGCATGGAACCAACTTGTTCTGAGTCCGCTCTGGAAGCAGCGGTTGGATGCAGTATCGCCAGGCTGTGCTGGTGCATGAGCCAAGGCGGATTATGAATGCCTTCCGCACCGTTTCCTGCAGCCACAGTTTGCGGAAAAGATTCAATCTACTGTACAAAGTGGCTTTTAAACTCCACGAAACATAGTCTGCAGGTATGCGGTGCATGCACGCCAAGTCTCGGGATAGTTTGCATCTGTGATTTGTGAAATCTCTGCAGCAAGCTTGAGGCTCGAGAACAACCGGCTTGTCAGATTTGGGACGCCGTGGCGGCCGTAGTCACCCATGTCAATGATCTGGAGCTGACCCGCTATCAGCTCCTCCCTGTCGAACATTGATCGGCGAATCTCCTCGTGAGTGCGCTCCATGCGCATGATGGTATCAATCCTTGGGCTTCCGGTGGGTATTTCATGCATACTACAAATAGTGCCCTGACTCCTTGCAAGTATGCAAGTACCTGAGTCAGACCAGCAGCAGAACGAGGTCTTTGCCAAACTCGCGAACCAAACCCTGGACGTCAGCAACGCTTGTCCGAATCAGCCGCACAGGCACGCCATATCCTGATTTTACAGGGCCGAAGGCTTTCGCGCGAGCTTCTCTGCTGTTTTGTAAGCTCTGCACTATCCCGGCAAAGCTCCACATCCGTTTCAAATCTCCTCCTTAGATGAGGTCCCAGGTCTGCCGCTCAGCTGGCTTCATGGGAAAAGATATGTAAACCCTCATGCTCACCAGCTTGAATACGGAAATCGCCTAACCCCAAATCCTAAACCCTCAACAGGCACAAACCTCACATCAGGCCTGAACCGCCTGACTGCTGCAGACGGGGAGCATCTGAATGCTTCGCTGGGTGCTTTGTTTTTCAAGCTCCGTTCTCCATTGCTGGACCTTCTCCTTCGCAGGAATGCGCGTTGGCTTACAACCCTCGAAGGCATTAGGATCCTGAACCTCGATTGCTCTTCATGTTTGGAGGCACAAATCGCATTCGGATTCCGCTCGGTTTACCTTTACCCGGTTGATATGATTGGAGCTGAAGCACGTCGACTCCGAAAGCATGGCGCCACTCGAGCATCGCCTTGAACATCACCTCCGCCTTCTGCAGATCGCCTGGTGATGACTCTGCCAGCAAGGTTGTATAAAAGCTTTGTCAACGAGGATAAGTCCAATAAATGGCGATGAATACGCCACCCGAAGCTGTGCTTGGAGGTAGGCTTTCTGCACATGTTGATTCTGACATTCGCGGACCTCGCCCTAGACATGCGCGAAACATCCTACAGCTGAGGAGCCATTCCGGGCTCGCAAGAAACGAAGAAGAGTCTGTGGCTGCCGCGAGAGCACCTGCTCTCTGCACGCCTAGGGTGAATCAGTGTAAAAAGCTGCTTGCATCGCATTGTTTAGAACTACGAATGCAGTTTTCTGTTTTGCGTACTTTTGTCAATCCCAGCAACGCCTAGACTTGGTCGTGTCAAACTGTTCATGTTGCCCCGTTCATGCTTGCACGTGCCTTACTAGTGCCGCTTTCTTGACTAGAAGATCGGACTCAGCCATGGACAGGATGATCGTCGCAATCCCGCAGCCGTGATCGGAGTTGCAGCAATCGAAGAAATTCAGCATGCTCAACACCCCGCTGTACGATCCTCAGCTTAGAATTTTCTTCTAGACTATACTAAAAATTTAACAAAATCCTAAGGACAGTACAGTAAACCCTCCCTCTCTCCCTGTCACCCGTTTGCCTACTCAGTACAGAAGCCTTCAGGATGCGGCAAGGGCTCTGCCACTCTGCCGCTTCTTCCCCCTCCCTGGCCTGGGCGTTGGTGGATGATATCTGCGACGGGGGATCATAAGGAGTAGAGGGAGGCTAGATACAGATCACTGCAAGGGGGTAATATAGGGATAATGGAAAAGAAAATGGAAACTACTATAGTATATTGGGGTTATTACATGGGTTTGCAGAATTAGACTGGCCTTAATGCACCTCAAAGGGGCAGAGTCCTTCTCATGTTCATCGCTCCGGAGTTGAATTGTCAGCACGCTTGCCGTCACAGTTCTTGTACACTGCTAGCGCGATAACATATTACACCTTGCTGCGGTTCTCGCTTCTCACCACAGCTTAGGACCTGACCAGCGCGGTCAGGCTTTCACTGGAATCGGCCACCTGCCACCGGACCACAGCATGCTAAAGGGGGTATGGGGGCTGCGCTGATTGCATGCTGATGTCTGTCGTCAGCCCAGTGGAGCCCAACAAGCATCCAGCGATTTCTTCAGCATTTCATTTTTGTAGAAGCACGGAACCCAGTCTGATAATTAGAGCCCTACCTAAACCCTAACCCCCCTAAATAGCAGCTTCCATCTTTTCCATTATCTCTATATTATCCCTATATTCTCCCTATATTACTATGTAAATCCCCACCCAAATTGCTGCACGGCAGTCCTCCGCCGTCTCCCGGTCGCCGCAGCAGTTCAGCCAATCGAACCAAGAGCTTGTGGTCATCGCGTGCCTCAATCATATACTCCCCCTTAAGTAGATAGAATATGGCTTTGGGTATATTATGATAAGAAACTATAGTCACAGGGGGCTGTATATCCCCTCCAAAAAGACCCTAATTTGGGAAAACCCTGTGTAGAGGGGTTTCTATGAGGGTATGAAGAGGCATACATGGAGGCACACATGGTCGTGATCCGGCAGGCCCTTGCCCCTCCCGTCTTTGTGTTGCTTGGGCATGGCTCCTGGGGATACTGAATTAATGTGGACATTGTTTAAGAATCGTTAGGATGGATTCGCATAGGAATTATAGAAATGGATGGGAATAGCACAAAGCTTAACAAGAAAGCGGAGTTGTAGAGATCATAAAGTTGTCTTTGCAGGAAACTCAAATGATTCAACCACCCCATAGGTTTCCGATAAACCCTGTGGAAACACTGGCAGGGACAGTACTTTTCCAGTTCTGGACATGTTGGTTGTCCTGGAGTTTCCGGGATTGAAGTTCTAAGTTAGTCCTTGGTTCGCACCTCTTCCAGTACGCGGTGGAATCCGATGGCAGGGGCAGTACTTTTGCGCTTTGGACATATTGGAAGGACGAATTTGCTACATTCACCCGCAATTTACCCACCTTTCTAGCCCGTAGTGGAAACCGAATTGACTGCAACATATGACTAGTGGCACAATCAACCCTAAATCCTAAAACCCTAGGCCCTAGACCCTCAAAAACCCAAACCAAAAAAAAATAAATCCTAACAAGCCAAAATCCAAAAAACCCTACACCAAACAACCTAGACACTCACCAAACACCTGAAAACCCGAAACCCCCCAAAACTAGCCACCAAACCCCAACAAACCTAAACCCTTAAACCCCCAAAACCTAAAAACCCTAAACCCTAGAAAACCTGAAGGCCATGAATTTATTTCGCCCTGCCATTACTTTTGTCTTTAGCGCTCCATGCGTACACCTATCTGCTTGGAACAGAAAACACTTCAAGTCATCAGAGCACGCGACAAACTCGGCTCCCTGCAATCAAGAGGAGCATCTGGAGCGTCTTCATAACTGCCGAGCCAGAAGCAAGAATTTTAGAGGAATTCCGCAATTGCATCCTAATTGCCACTGCGGGTATCACTGAAATTACTTGCCGCATGTCAGCAACAAACGCATCAGGAGCATAATCGCGGCCTCAATTTTGCAAGCACAAATGTGCGAATCAGACAGGTTTGCTGTGGCTCATACATGGTAGTTTCCAAAAAAAAGAGGCCCCCAAAAGGTACATAACAAGTATGGCCCCCATCCCCCCCAACCCCCAGCACAATGCTAGCGGAAAGGGGCCTCTGATTTTTTGAAACACCCACATTGGACTGCACAGTAACCGCCTTTGCGGTCCTGAGAGTCTGTTATTCGGCGGCCCTGGCATCCTTCAGGATGCAAGGCAAATCGGAGACTGCATGCTAGCAGGCCCGTGGAATTTAGTGAGCAGGTCAGTGCGCACAAGGCAAGCTGAGTTAGTCCAAAACGGCATCTATATCATAGTATAGTATAATGTATCATATCATGGTATATTACAATATAGTAGAATATATCATATCATGGTAGATTTATGTACGTTTAAGTTCCTGCATGAATTGACTACTCACGAAATTCCTCGAGCCTCCGAGCTGTGTCTTTTGTACAAGATTCAGATTAGTTGTGGCAAGTGCTAGCAGGCCTGTTAGGCACGCGCTTGCTGAAGGGAAACGAGCACCCTCCTTTGTGCTCACAGTTGGGGGTTTGCCAGAATTAGGGGTACCATTTTGGGGTCCCCATAATAAGGATTATAGTATATTGGGGTCCCCATAATAAGGATACAAGCACATTGGGGCCCCTTAATTTAATAAGGATTAAAGTATATTGGGGTCGGTATTGGGGTCACATTTCATCAACCCTCCGAGGCTGCTTGACTCTGCTGCGAGTCATTTCTGCCAGATCTTTGAAACCGAAAAACACCATTAAACACCATTTCGTGCATCAGTGGAACTCCTCCTTCCTTAGGCAAAGACACGAGCAGAGCACGCCAACCCTACTAGAGGCCTACTGGGTACAGAGCTCACTAGAAGCCGAACTAAGTTACCATAATATAGGGGTATCTAGGGGTTTTGGGTTTAGGGTTAAGGGTTTAGGGTTACCATAACTGGGATATATATATATATGTCACAAGAAGCTACACGCACAACGCGAGTGGGGACTGCACCCACGGTGACCGGGAAGGTTGCCCGGGCATTAACTCGGCCTTCATAAAGCAGCCCAAAACCCTTGAGTTTAAGCAACCAACTTCGACCCAAAGACAAAACGTGGCGTTAGAGGAGCGACGCTGGCGAAACAAATGCCAGCTGAGTTCACAGTCTTGCCACTATCGCTTGCGACTGTCCTTCTAAACAGTACAGTAGCCAAAAAACCAATCCAGAAAAATCGGCGCATCTTTCTTGACATCTAGCTGGACAAAAGCAACATGACCTGGCCACGCAAAGGTGACATTCAATGCAGCCCATGACGCTGGACGGCTATCTTGCTGTCCATCTCCGGGATAGCTATTGTGATGTCTTCATGCGCCACCTGCGCCGAACCACATTGGGGATTGCCAAACATAAAGGTCCTTCCTTAGGTCCTGCACAGCAGTTTCCCTGTTTCAAACACGACGTTGTCTCACTTACGAAAACAACCAAGTCAGCTGTCCGGCGAGGTGGCCAGCTCAACTTATGATCATACGAGTCACGCTGAAGGCTAATGATTACGATGATGTCACGGAGGGGAGGAAGTCCGAGGAGATCGGGAAGTCGTCCCGAATCTTTGCAAAAGCCCCCTTCATGGACGCCTTTTGGGGCTTCCTAATCCCAAGGCAGCGGTTGCCTCATCCTGGCTCATGTCTGGCTCTGCGCGTCCGAGAACATTTGGCCCAGGAGAATCGGCCTCAGAAGGTTGTGGGTTTAGTCAACAGCACAAATGGGGTTTCCCAAAATATGGGGAATCATTTCGGGAGGCCTCTAGGAAGGACTATAGTATTTGCGGGTCTATATTGGGTCCCCTATTTTGGGAACCTAATAAATTCACGAATGCAACTACACGCGAGGTGCAGCAAAGCTTGAACAAGGAATCGACACTGGCCAGTGAACACAACATGAACTACAGCCAATGTTTCCCCATATACTTAGTTGACATGGGTGCCTTATTGGGGATTATATTAGGGATTATACTAACCTAACTACAAGAGGGAACCCCTGTAGCTCACCTGATGAATGCCGGCACGTGGCGTTGCTCTTCAGGGCGGTAGACCTGAAGGCTCGGGCGGCGCCAGAGATCATCTTGCCAAAGATGATCTGGCAGACCTTAGGTGCTCTTGGCCGGGTCACAGATTCTCCGCAGGTACCTGCTACCCTCTTCATAGCATGCAGCATGCTGACTCACGTCTTTGCTGCTGATTGTAACTTGTACTCCTTTTCTGTGACTTCTCCTTTCTGTTGACTACTGCAGTTCCGTTTGTCTCAACCTCTCGCGCGGTGCGCCAAAGCAAGTCAGAGAAAAACCCTTTGTAACGCACGGTGTAGAATGCATCTACTGCAAGGCGACGAAAACACTTTCAGTTGTGGTGTCTGTTTTCGGAACCTGGGAACATTCCCCTGACAGGAACAACCGGCCACGCAAAATTACCGATTCCATATGTGCCGAGGAAATACAAACCTTAAACCCTAAACCGCGTCTAAGTGAGTGGGAATACTGTTCTGGGCATGGCCTGCGTTACTAGAATTCAGTTCCGACGTTGCTCAAGATTCCCGATACCTAGGCGTACGTGATCGCACGTTCTAGGTATCACCATCTGGGGAAACCCCCCTAAACCCCAAACCCTTGACCCTAAACCTTAAACCCTAAACCTAAACCCCAAACCCTTAACCCTAAACCCCAAACCCTAAACCCTAAACCCCGAAGCCTACACCCCAACCCCCAAACCCTTAACCCCAAACCCTAAACCCTAAACCCCCAAACCCTGAACCCCTAAACCCCTGAACAATAAACCCTCAACCCTAGAAACCCTAAAGTGGCTAATCTGACATGTTCAAAGGCCGCGGCCACTCCGAGAGCTGCTACCGCCAAAGCTAGCCAGCCAAATGGCACGATCACCTAGAGATTTGAGGGGGGTTTTAGGGTTTTAGGGTTTTTGGGTTTTAGGGATTAAGGTTTTAGGGTCTTAGGGTCTTAGGGGTTTAGGGTTTTTGGGTTTGAAGGTTTTAGGGTTTAGGGTTTTAGGGATCACCTAGGGATTTGAGGGGTATCCATAAAGAAGATTTAGGGATTTTAGAGTTTTAAGGTTTAGGGGAATATCTCTCTATTAATCGGGAATCAAGTGGAAAAGGAAAAGGAAATGGACAATTAAATGGAATCTGGGTTTAAAAAGGAGTTATCTTGGGGTTATGTACTTTAGGGGCCTACATAATTACCGATATCATCTTGAGGTCTTGAGACACCCCGTACCAAAATTCATAATTCTATAAGGAATCTAAGACCACATCCTGATGTGGTGCTACAGAGTGAAAAGTTTAGGAGGCTGGGGTAATTTGGGGTTTGCATCGCATGTTTTCCAGATGAGGGACCCTCAGTGTCCACTGGAGAGAAATGGCCAGGTGAAAATGTCATGAGGGAATAGTAATAATCATAAACGGAATACAAATAAAATAGGGGTAATTGCCCCACCTGCCATGCCCTAACGTTAACGGGACCTTAAGGATAGGTGCCCATCAAAGCTGACACGGCGTGCTGTCCTGGATACAACGATTTGGTGGGAAGCAAGACTCTTTCGGAGACAATCAGTATCAAAGTGGCCCCGATTACGGCAAACACTTCCGATCCATCTGTTGCAGGCAAGCTGCGATGTTCCAGGCATTGTTGTCTAGACCTGGCAGCCAATATGACTGACGTCCAAGTGAAAGTTGACCCAAAGCCCCGGACCTCCAAGATCAATTGCGTCACTGATCTTGTTCGTGATGGCGAAATTCCGGAAGCAGAATTTCTCCTGACACCGACCGAGCTAGCCCAAGGAGCCGCTTCATACTGTGACTCGAGATGAGTAGCCGTCTGATTGCACATGCGTCCAAGAGTCCGTGAGCATAAAGTCTGCAGCGATGACAAAACCTGGCATGCAAAAAAGAAAGAGGCGGGGAGAGAGAGTGAGAGAGGGGGGAGAGCATCGGCCTCTTGAGAATATGGGCTGCTGTAGCTGCTCACATTTTGCAGCCACTGGCAAATCTTCTGGTATCATGTCTGAGGCTGTTTCTCCACAGGACATGCTGGCGCCTCCACCTATATACCTAGAAGTCGGACGCACGTCTTGATGCAACCATGCTGCCAGAAAAGACAATGGACGCGACGGCCAGCAGCAGCACAGATGCTTGTGCGCAGGACATGGCCTTTCCAGGCTTGCAGGTTGTGTCAGCATTTCTTGGGAAGTTTCGCGTGTCCCGTCGCCCCTGTGCGGGCTTGAAACCAATAGAGCCTCCTCCAATACCCTCATCCCCTTTCATCCCCAAACGGCACAGCATCGCAGTGAGCACCAGCCTGCCACCGAGAGACCTCCTTGAACGCGGCAGTATAAGCCTCATGCCCAAGACGCACAGACAACAAGCTAAGTAATTCAATTGAGTACAAGGCTCTCAACAAGAAGATGACGGCTCGAATGGTCCTACATGTTTCTCTCTTAAAATCCTCCGGAAGAGAGTTCTCAACAGCTTCCCCCTGCAGGGCCGCAGAAATCCTTCAGCCAAGCGGCCGCTTCCTGTGCAAGGCTTGACTGATAGGGCTGAATATGAGCTATAGTCTAAACTCCTAGTATCCCCTTAATAACCCTTATAGTGGTCCCCTATATAACCCCCCTTTAAAGAGTTTAGACTATAGCTCATATGGCCCCCAGAACGAGGTTAAGTCGGCTAAGGGTCCGTGACACGGGCTGCTGGTTGAAAAAAGCCGGTGGTTTGAAGGGTCAACGGTTTTGAAAAGGTGCTAGTTTTATAGTGTAGGGTGGCAGGGCGCGGTAAGCAAAGTTGAGAAGGAAACAAAAATCAAGCTTCGAAGCCGTGGAAGGAAACCGTGATGATAAAACAGTGCCATGAGCGCATCCAACACAAGTCACATATCCCACCAAACATGGCAAAATGTTGGGAGCGGACCCTACCTGAGGCTTGAGTAACTATAACCCAGTTATGTCTGTACTTATGTTCCAGATATGAACTCTCTGAATCCCCTAATTTGGTTGTAATTGAGCTTGAAGTGCCAGTTACAGTCAGGTTTATACTTAACTCACCCTTATAACTGTGACATCAATGCATATATATATATATGTATACATACAGACATACGCGTGTCTGTACCTATCGGCATGTCATGTCGCATGTTCCTTTCCATTGGTTTCCCATTATTGGGTTGTAGTCTGCCTTTTGTGGCTATAGTCACCCTCTCTCTCACCCGAAACTCTACATACATTATGCAAGCCCTGTATAAGCCCTGCACATGGCATGATTGCCGGAGCTCCTGTGCGGTCAGCTGGGCAACTGCCGCATGCTCCGGTCGAGGTTTGGCAAGTTCCTCACCGTCCTTGCCGCGTCATTTTCGATACTCCCAGAAGGGGATGCGTAATTTATGGATGCGTCAGATACCATCTAGGACGCTTAGGTAATTCTGATTTGCTAGAGGGCAAAGGATGTACGCACTTATCAATGAGATCTGTAGGATGTCCGAGGACCGGATCACCTGTCGGAGAGGCTAGCGGCTAGCATGCATGGCCAACATTCCAAATGGGATGGTGCTCAAGGCTATTACATGCGCTCAGACTTTCTTTGGGGACGTCCACCACAGCCCCCATCGAATTCTCCAGGACGAGCCTGCTCGACTGTCTTCATGATGCGCCAGGTGAAGAGTAACATCGCCGAGGCCTCTGTCGAAAAGTGGTTTGACTGACTCTGGACATGGCGTTATAGTAGTTTCCATTTTCGTTTCCATTCTTCCAATTTTAACCCAATATACTATAGTAGTTTCCATGTTATTTTCCATTATTCCAATTTTAAGCTACTTACTGTTTATACAAACGACGAAGGTACAGCAGAGCCTCTTCTGCGCATCCTTCGCCAACTAGACTGCACAATAATACTTCTCAATCGACAATGACTGTTCTCGACTGTAGGCCTTCATGGCAGCATCACCACCGGAAGCTACTACACAAGAGGTCAGAAAACCAGAAGAAGCAGCAGCAACGCAATGTTCACGTGGCAGCAGTGAAGACAGCACGTCTCCAGCAGTGTCACACCTATTACTATTGTTACGATTATTGCTGCATGGTAGCTTTGAAGGCCAGGCCTGGCGATCCCAGTATGAACTATCACTGACAAATATTTCTAGTACTGTTACTTTTGTAGCCACTGACAAATATTTCTAGTACTGTTATTTTTGTAGCCACAAGTCTAATGGTTACACCCTAAACCCTAGGAGCAACCAGGGTAATCAAGAACAGCTGGCCTGGATGGCTGCTGCAAAGCCAGTCACGATGTTGGATATCATTGATTGGATCTTGGTGAGGAGGGAGGGGAAGGATATAAGGGGGAGCACCAGTGGCGCTCTACGATTACCGATTTGGATTCGAAAGTGTGGGATGATGTGGGACCCTCTAAATCATAAGACCCTACAATCTAAGATCTGGCCCTAACTGCATTCTGGTTGTGGGTTCCTCGAGCATATGGTCCAAAAGAGTCACCCCTTCAATTGCAAGAACGTCCTACGCAGCCGCAGGGATCGGACATCAAATCCCACATACAACTACATGCCACCATATACTACTCCGTGCTACACCATGATGCTGGAAATTATTGCAGGGATTTTCTGAGCTTGTGGTCAGGTGCTCCAATGCTTCCAGAGGACAGATGGTAGCTTCCCTAGATTGGGGGTCCTTATTATGGGGGCCCCCAAAACGCTAAAACCTTAACCCCTAATTTCAGGAAACTCCCAGATACCTGCTGACTGAGCCTGGTGCATTGCTGGAGCTCTCATTGTCTTCCGGAGCTTGGTACCTGGAATGCCACAGCTGACTGCTACTTGGAGGGTCAGGGGGGCTTAGCAAGTAGGTTAACAACCCGTATAAGCCATATAATAGGCCCAATTATCCCCATTATTAACTACTTACTAAGTCCCCACGACCCTCCAAGTAAGACTGGGGTGGACCATTCTTGGGACCACGTAGACACAGGATGAGGGTTTTTGACATTGATTTGGGTGAATTTATGTCTTCTGGCGATTTTTAGGTGAGCCTGAATTGCATGTTTGCATGGGCATTCAAGCCTGCATTGAGAAACCCATGGGTACGTGGTTGTATACGGATTTTCATGGTAGACTCTTCTTGTACTGCACAGACATGAATATTGAATTTTACATAAACACTCGCAATACACAAGTGAAGATCTTTATGATTTAGGTCCATACTTCTTTGAAGATGGCACCTGCGCTGGGCACTAGCTGAAATAAGTCAAATAACAGGGCTGCAAGCCCATTTGTTTCTTTGGGGTTGGAGGGAGTGGCTGTGGTGATGTGCCCAGACCACCCTACCAGCGGTGGTAGGGGTCCCTCCGCACAGCCTGTCATGTATGTATACATGGCTTTTTCACAAACCTTGATTTCTGGGGTCTATAAATTCGCATCATACAGTCTATATTGCGTTTTCAGTGAGCAATACGGCGGTCCTGGGCCATGTGAGAAAAACGCTGCATCATGTTTGGTGGCTGCATATAATCAGGATTTACAGGATTGGGGGACAAACAATGGCCCCCCCCCCCACCTTTCGGACGTAGCCATAAACCCTTCTATCCAAAACACAAAGCCGAAAAACACATGTTCTCACTAGTTATTCTGGATTTGATACCCCCAAACCATATAAAATCCCATTAGAATAGTTTCCATTTTCTCTTCCATTCCTTTGGAATGGCTCTGTCTGCTTGCAGGACAAGGGGCGTCAGCAGCGCTCCGACTGTGACCTGCGGAATGATGCTGACCTTGGAAGCGCTGGGTCTGAAGCCAAGTCATACTCAGGGGTTCATAGGGTTCATAGAGTTTAGGCTTTCAGGTTTCAGGGTTTTGGCTTAGGGTTTAGGGGTAATCCCCTCCCCCTAATAGTACACGCCCCCTAATGTTAATTACTCCCATGATGTGGCATATTAAAATATATTGGGATTATTTACTATTAGGGAGGGGTGGAGGGGGGGTTCACAAAAGGCCAAGGGGATTACTCAGGTAGCCTCCAATGGGTGGTACTTCAAAAGCCACCAAAATGATTCATGAGTAGGTTCGCTTATATCACAATCAGGAAAATTAGTAAGTACCAGAATTCGAACCACCTTTCTGAGCCAGCAATAACAATGTTCGAGGTGTTCTTTTAAAGGGTGCCAATGAAAATCACATTTACCACCTAGCCTGCAAGAATGTTGGCAACCCTTTCTGCTAAATCCCTCAGAAGGTCAAGGAACCCGTTCACCTCCAAACCATAGCATCCTTGTTATAACCTCCTCAAACAGAAGCCCGTGATTTTGATATACTTTGATAAACGCTTGTTTCAGAGGATCCCAACTCAATGTTGGGAAGTAGTGAAGGATCGGCAGCACAAAGCTGCGATGGCTTGTCTGCATTGGCCTAGAACCCTTCAAGACATGCAGGAAGCATCTCGTCTGGAACACAATGAAAGAAAGCTCATGTCAGATTCTCTTTTTCGGTCCGTTTCACACTGCAAGCGCTGTCGACCACATGGTCACGTGCACGGGGTACCACCAAAATGGGTAGGGGTCGCTTCTGATTCCTCTTTTGCTGCTGTAATAGCTGCTTCACCGTATATATTGTTGCATCTAGGATTTGTTGTTTTGGGGTCTGGGCACCCATTTTGCATCTTACCAAAATACCACCCCAGCTCTAATAGTGTGACTATACGCATCCTGCAAGGAGACCATGATGTTTGAGACACTCAAAGGCTACATTCCAAATCCTGGGAGGCCTCAAAGAATGTACCCGAAATAGGAGGCGCTAGTGTCTGAAGCCTGCCCCAGATTTCGGAACCCTAAACCCTAAACCCCGGAGACAGGCTGAGCGCGACACTAGGACGATTGGCGTTGTCCCTAGCAACATCTGCGGAATGTTGAGCTTCAGAATGCCACCTTCCGGGAACCGTGAGAGTGACCCGTCGAAAATCAATTGGATATTTCAGGCCATGCAATCGGGTTTTCGATTTTGTTGTGAGCTTAGGAAAATTTACTCAAAATGCCTGTGAGTCTTCAAAGACTCACCTGAAGGACAAGCATTTTTCGACGCCCAACAAAAAATATTACCAGATTCACCAGTCATCACGAGGCTCATATATATTCACTGCCACGCGTTGAACGCTACAAGATCAAGGTCGATATCCTCCAATGCAGAATCCCTGCAAGGACTCTGTCAAAGCTGACGTCAAAACCGCCAATTGAAGTCCCCTGTCATACTCCCAAGGCTTCTAAGATTTTCAAAAATGCGCTGTTTTGATTCTACGTGGGACGCAAGAATGCCCTTGGAAATCGAGGCGAGGGATCCAATCCGCTTTCAGCCGAGCAGCAGAGGACACTCGTGGGAAAGTCGGGTCCTGGCAGGAGCACAAAAGCTGGCCCGAACCACGCGCAGCTTAAAAAAACGCCTATGCGGAAAACGCACACCTGGTACCAGACGCAAAAATGAGCTCAAGCGAGTGCACAGCGGCCCCCTGAAAATCAAATCACAAGTCTTCGGTCTGCATTGGGGAGAATCAATCATCTCTTTTGTCACTGTCCCAAGAATTCCAAATCATGGCAGCAGCGATGAACATGACAATCATCAGAACAACGATCACGGCAAGGTGGTACTGATTAAGAGCTTCTGTTTTTGGAAATGTCAAGCAGCAATGACAACCCTAAACTTACTGGTTCTCAGTAGGGAATAAGGGAACATAATCGCTATATATCCCCTAGGCCCCATGTAGTATATCCCTTCTTCCCTCCGAAGAACCAGTAAGTAAACCCTGATCCAGCCTGCGATGAGGATGCAGACCTGCGGCTTGAGTGGCCCGCCCAGCTCTAATGGAAGTTTCCCTAAATGACTGTTCCCAAAATGGGGGGAAATTATATAGGGCCCCGTATTATAATAGGAACCTAAATATAGGACCCCGTATTGACAGTAATTTAGGACAATCCCCTAATGTGTGCAAAGGACTCTTACAGGCACTGCTCTCCTAGGTATTCTCCAAAGCTATGCAATGCTACATTTCTTGGTAGGGCAATTGGAATCCAGAATTTTTAGGAAACTCCAATCCTTACAAACCACCACATCAACCATCTTCCACTTCATTATCTATTTTCTTTTTCCATGTTGATTCTCCATAACTGGGGTAGTAACCCTAAACTCTAAGCCCTAAGCAGTAGTTCCATTTTCCATTGCCCTTATAACATATCCCCTATACCGTCCCTATGCTACATGGTAGTTGCTCAAAATATGATCTCAAATATAAGCCCTGAACCCTCAACCCCTAAACCCTCAACCTCAATCCCTAAACCCTAAACCCTGAACCCTAAACCCTAATCCCTAAACCCTAAACCCTATGCCCTCTCATCCCTGAACCCTAATCCCTAAAGCCTCTAATCCCTAGACCTTCCAATCCCTAAGCCCTCTAATCCCCTGGAAGTCGGCCACGCCTTGCCCAAGCCCAACCCCGGTGTCTTCAGAATCTTCTCAGTGGCACGAGTGGGCACCTGTAAGGGTTTAGGGCTATTACCATTGGGGTAATATTAGGGTCATATAGGTCTTGTATTGGGATAATGGAGAAGAAAGTGGAAACTACTATTTAGGGTTTAGGGTTTAGGGATTGGTGTTTCTAGGAGTTCGGGTTTGGGGTTTAGCGTTTAGAGGCCTGACTCCCTTGTCATCTTGCTGCAGGAATATGGGGATAAATAACAAATATAGGAATTCAAATTGTAGGGCTTAGGGTAGGGAATATGGGAACATATTATGTAGGGGCTATACAGGGATTATATTCCCTTCTGCCCTACGTTGCTAACCATCTTCACAATGGGAACATGGTGTTTCATCCCTCCCTCCCTGCATTGCCTGATCAACGCCCACCATCTGCTGAACCTTCACGAACTTGCCAGCGTAGTAACCTATGAGGTACTGGCCGACGCACCTGAGCTGGGCCTGTACCAATATTCGGTGAGCATGAATAGAAGCAATACCGTGATCAAACAAAAACACAAGTTAGAAGTTCTGGAACCCAAGTTGTTATGTAGGGATACAGGGCTTACATAGGGATATGAGGGTTATGGAGGGATAAACGGGTTATACAGGATATTGGGATTATGTAGGGCTACCACAAAACTGCGCTCAATTGCTTGGCAAGGCACGCTACATGTTTTGCTACGGAGCTCGCGACGACTCCAGCCTTGCAACATGAGTTTAGGGGTTAGGATTATATAGGGTTTATATAGGGATACTGGAAAAAGAGGATGGAAACTATGTTATAGGGTTATATAGGAGGCTTGTGGGAATTGACAAAATATCATCTGGGCTATTGAGGGCGTGTACCCCCTCTCCCCCCTAACATTAAATACTCCCAAAATACTACAATTTACCACAATGGGAGTATTTGATATTAAGGGGTGTTAATTTTAGGGGGAGGGGACTAAAAATGAAACTCTGTTTTTGCAAGAATGATGGAATACCGTTGTTGTCTTTACGTGATGGCACTGTTGAGGCCTGTCGTCGCCGAACGGCACTGTATAACTGAAAGGTTGAAGCCATGGCTTCTTTATGGAAACTGCCCTATACCTATAGTCCCCCTTAAGTAGATAGAATATGGCTTTGGGTATATTAAAACAAGACCCCCATAATTATACCCCATATTCTATCTACTTAAGGGGGACTTAGTATGCATTTGATATGTAGCCTTACAGGCCCTGAGAACCTCACCAAAAGTGTATGGGCCCATAGTCGGGGCCCATAATGCCCCATACTCCAACCTTGGACTGCCACGGAAACCCTAAACCCCAAAACCTAAACCCTAATCCCTAATCCCCAAAACCTGATCCCTGAATCCCAACCCCTAAATCCTAAGCCCTAAATCCTAATCCCTTAAACTGCGCTTCAGGTAAGCAGCAGCTATGCCAACAATAAATCCAGGCCGACCCGGCAGTTGAGACTGCGCACCCAGCACAACGCCGGCCTATTGAAGTTCATACGAGGGCACAAGGTTGAGTATGCTGAGCTGGCATTTTGGCAGCTGCAACTGTTGATTATTTGCTTAGGGTTTTAGGGTTCAGGGGTACAGAGGGTGGCAGTACAAGGATTATATAGGGATTATACAGGGATTGTATGTAGCGCAACAAAGAACACAACCAATCTTACTTTTCAAACGTGCTCAAATAGTAGAGGACAATCCGACCCAAAACCCTACCCAAATGGATGATCCAGGGTCCGGCACTCCTCTCTCTCTCTCACGTGCTCAGGCGGACCTGTCAGACGCACTCCTCAAACCCTAAACCCCAAAGCATAATCCCGACATCTGAGTTTTGTAGTCAAGTAGTCCGTCCTCCTCTGACTGATCTGGTGCCGTGGCAAGGTGCATTCCCTGTTTTTCAAAAACCTGCTGCGTTTTGAACAGCACTTGTCTTGGATTGGTGGGTTGCCTTTTTTTGCAGTGCATTTTTCTGCAAAGACCAAGCAGATGAGAGGGGCAACCTAAGTTTAGGCTGAGGAAGTGCTTCTCCACAAGCTACGACTCCCATATCACATCGTGATGACACGCAGGTCGCGGTACCACAAACCAAGGTCCCAGAGGTCCTTCCCAAATCCTGATTTTGACTGAACCTTTTAACAGATCGGCCATTGTTGGCTGTTGACCTGATCCTGCTAGCCAGACACTTAAGCTGAGCATCAGATTATGTTGGGCCATTGGGATCTGCTTCCACAAGCCCTATATTCCAAACATAATAGTTCATTTTCTTTTCCATTCCCCTACATATCCTTAGGGTCTAGGGTTTAGGGTTTAGGGATGTAATCCCGGTATAATCCCCAATAACCCTAAATCCCAAGCAAGGCGAGGTACAAAGAGATAAACGGCACTTCCTGGCACGATCGGGCATAGGAACATGGCCAGGCCAATGCCGAAAACCATGGCCTTAGACTGGGTTGCTATCAAGGAAATTAAGGAAAGGTTTGGGGTTTAGGGAAAGTTGCCAAAAGTAGGAGACCCTATGATTTACATTGATTTACCCTATACATATACCTGTTCTGGTAATCGTATAGACAGTGAATAATACGGTTTCCCTAACTTTGGTAGCACAGCTTCAGTTCTTTGACAGCAACCCAGTAGAACACCACTGCTTGCACCAACCCCCGTTGTTTGTTAACTCCTAATTGTGCGCAGGACAGTGGTCGGATGCACGGCAAATGGGTTGGACTCCACTGTCAACCGTGTAACTCTAAGAAAATGTTCCCAGCTTTTCCTTCCACTCAGTTGCCGATAGGATGTAGAAGTCGATGTTTGCAGCCTTAACCAATGGACTGCTTCATATGCGTGTGCATGCCGGCCCCATCGAAAGACTCTGAGGCAGCCGCGTAGAGAGTAGTGTTTAGCCATGAGAAGAAGACGTAAGTGGCCTGCGGCAGCACTCAAGTTCTGGGCATTTTTGGAGTTCAACGGCAAAGGCTTCTTCGCACTGGCCTTCATCCCCAGGATGATGGCTATCTGAGAAAGCAGGGCAACGTGTTTGGCAAAGCAACATGTTTGGTCCCTTCTCTGCATGTACCTCTGCAGGCTAGAATGCAAAGCTTCGTGGATAGAGGTAGCCACTGTTGCTCATCGTCGTGCTCACAGCGTTCTAGCCCATGAGATGATCTCACAAGCAGCTCTCAGCCCCGGGCAAAAAGCTCACCAAGCAAGATCACCTGGCGGAGCTTTGTCAGAAATCAGGTCGCGGGCAAGCACCAGCAATGCTGAAGATTTGGAAGTGCCACTTCTGAGGCCTTCGAAAAAATGCTGCACCAATTCCAGGTACTGCATTCATCGGCGACTTTGCGTCCAGTAGGCCTGCAGTCGATTGAGCCATGCAATATTGAGAGGCGATTCCGACTTCTTGACATGCCACTACTATTGCTGCTGTTATTGCCGCGACTACTCATCCAGTAATGACTGTTCTAACTCTAACGATCACCCGAAAAACTGCTGATCCTACAACTTGCCCACAGCACCCAAGCTGGTGATCATGAGAAGCAGGCGTGAACTTGTCTTCGGCGCTTCCTTGCACAGTGCCTGGCACGGGGCTTGGCCAAGACAAATGTGTCAAATGCATTCGGTCCTCCACGTCCATAAAAATACAATGAGCATAATGCAATAAGATAAATTGTGGCAGGAATAGGTGAAGAATAGGAACACTAGTAGCAAGAATAGTTATACTACTAACGGCAAAAATGATATGAGCTCAAGTCTGGTGAATTGCGCAGCGCATCCTAGGGAACTCCCAGTCGGGAGCCTTTGAGCTGGAAATGTGGAGTGAGGGAGATAAGAACGCCTTAACGTAGACCTTTGATTAGTGAACCCATCCCCTTCATAGAGATTATAATATTAAGGCCCTTAGAAAGGGGGGTTTATTAATCACGGGTCTACATTTTTAGGCCTCATTGCTTATCCTAGGGTTTTAGGGTTCAGAGACCGACCCCATGCACCGCAATCCAGTACACGCCGGGCATGTAGAATGTTTTGTGCCCTGGCTGAGTAGGCCACCCAATTCGCAACAATGCAAAATTGGGGTTCTCCACTACATAGTCTCTGAGTCAAGCATCAGTAATTCCCTATGCAATACTATGCGACGGCGGCTACACAGCACTGTTTGGAAGTTATCGTGCTGGCATTAAATTATCGAAAAAGGCAAAGAGACCCTTCTCATGCGACACTGTGCATCAGGTGCGAAGATGGGTCCCCTCACTTTTGGAGACCGCGCCAAAAAATTCAGCATAATTGCACTCTCATAGAACCCAGATGATATGTTCCCATACTCCCCCTGCTGACCCCAATATATACGGTATTAGTGTAAATATAGTAGTTTCCATTTTCTTCTCAATTATCCTTGTATAACCCCAATCGTCCCTGTATACCCCTATAGAAAAAACCCTATATAACCCATTTTAGGAGTTTTCATTTTCTTTTCCATTCCATCGACTACCCAAGAAGTGCACACCTCGCAGTCTTCGAATGGACTGCCTGAGCATATCCAGAGTTGCCTCGGACGTCTTCCGCGACGAGTTTGCCATTTGGCCTTTACCCTTTTCATCTTACTGGTGCTTTGTAGGGAGTATAGGGGTTATATGGGGATTATAGAGGGATAATGGAAAAGCAACTGGAAACTGCGTTGTAATAGCGTATATATTGGGGTTGTAGTAGGGAATATGGGAACATAAATTCTACGGACTATGTAGGGAATAGAGTCACTTGTACTCTACCATCAGCCAGTAAGCCATTGAGCGTTGAGAGCTTCTGGGATTACATAGCACCAAGAAAATTGTGTGGTTTTGGGGGGTGCATTCGGGCATCGCAAGGATGATGCATGTGGTTGCATTGGGTGAACGATTGCCCGGCATGCTGGAAGCGCGGGCATACAGGCTTGGCAGGTTCTGGCCACAAAGGATCCTCCAAAAGCTACGATCAACGATCAACGGCTTGTACTTTGCCTATGTGTGACGAAGACTACACGTGCAACTTCTTAAAGCGGACTACATTGACTACATGGTGTCTAGGTGGTTAATCTAAGTGGGATGATTTTCTTCTGATAGACAACTCTTGCCAAAGGGAGAACAGCATGCTGCTTCATATTGGGGACGACATCCTTTTGCTGGACTGCCCTGGTGATGCCACCATCCACCTTGCAAGCCGCGTAGCAAAGAGCGGAATGAAGACGTTGAGACCTCCGACAGCTATTGCCTCACTCAAAGAACGCGATGCAGAAGGTCATGCCAGAGGGAAATGTTGGGGGCGAGGGGTGGGCCCATGAGAGCCTGTAAATCTCTTCCCCTAAACCCTGAACCCTAAAACCCTAAAAACCTGAAAACCCTAAAATCCTAAAAGCCTAAACCCTTAAACTCTAAATCCTCACGCCCTGGTGTTCAAGCACTCCTGTCACCTCAGCTGGGCAAAGTGGCTTTTCTTTGAGCCCGTCTGTTTGCTGTGCTTTGCTCGGAGTAAGGGGGGTTCCAAAAGGTCCCCCAAATGCATGCCCCACCCCTGTCTCTTAAGACAGGGATTTGCTTAGGGCCCTAGAGACATGTGGGGATTGTAGAGTGAACTAGTTCTTCGGAAAGAGTGTTTTCAGACTCCCAACATGCGAAGGCTGCCCTCCCCGTAGGTTTCACACGCATCTGGTCCAAGGTGCGCGAACCCAGTCCGACTTCATGATCTTGAGGATGTTGGCGGCCTTGGAATGTGTGACTCAGAGTTCTGGAATCCAGCCCCCTTTTGACAACGGAACCCAAATGATCGGGATCCTCATGACTACGAAGGGACCAAGGATTTCAAACCAAGTGGTTTCGGCACCAAAAGAGTGCCTCTGATGTTATGATGACTCCTTCTTCCCCATCAAGCCCGGCCTCACTCAGATTTATGAATCCTTACAACAACGAAATAGAAATCGCCAGAAGTTTGAGAAAGTCCGCCGTATTCACCTTGAGACCATCCCCGGGAGCTTGGCAGCGCGCCATTTGCCCCTCTGTGGCCAGACGCTTGAGCTTGCTGTGGTCGATCTCAGCGTACATCCTGCAAAGGGCGTTCGGGCATGCATACACACATGAACATCTGAACCTATAGGCAAGTGTACATACACATGTGCGAGTGCCAAGTCAAGAGAGAGCATGATAGCGCCCTGGGAGACCATGACACCACTCCTCTGGTGCTAGCCCAAGTGTAGAGGAGGAGTCAGGACAATCACTTCTCTGCAAAATTGCGCACCCCATCCCCCAATGTCGAATGCTCGCTAAGAAGTCTGAGCTTGTTTCAGCACATGCGAGTCTGACGACTGGAGCGATGTTTAAATCAGGGGGGTTGGGAAGCCCTAAGAATCGACATATAGTCCCTCTTAAGTAGATAGAATATGGGGTATAGAGGGATCGATCTTATTATAATATACCCAAAGCCATATTCTATCTACTTAGCAAGCCCGTCCATCCGATGGTTGCGGCCATCGTCAACGCTCCCAGGAGGAACACGGCTGAGCTCAATGCCACGGCAGACCCAGAGACCTTCGCATCCCCTAGGGGGATATAGGTGGATATATAGGGATAGTGGAAAAGAAAATGGAAACTACCATAATGGGGAATATATAGGGGTTATAGGTGTATATAAAGAAAATGGAAACTACCATAATGGTGGTTATATAGGGGGGGTTACAGGGGAATATATGGGGATAATGGAAAAGAATATGGAAACTACCATAATGGTGGTTATATAGGGGGGTTATAGGGGGATATATGGGGATAATGGAAAAGACTATGGAAACTACTATAATGGTGGTTATATAGGGGGGGTTATCGGGATAGTGGAACAGAAAACGAAACTATTATTTAGGGTTCCGGGTTTAGGGTACAGAAGTGGCATGTCCAACGTTGCCCTTGCTCCGGCAATCCAATTCCCGAGGCATACGTAAAAACAAAAAACATCTCAGGTCACCACATATGTGGCAGCAGCGTACATTGCTGCCAAGACCAACCTCAGCATCAAACTGGGAAAACTGTGCCTGCTCTTGACTTGGGGTACCTTTGCGGTCCCTATATTTTTAAGGAATAATATACCACAGTATCTTGGGGTCTCTATTAAGGTCCCCTATTTACGGAAACTACCACATTGCAACTCTGCAAGCAGTCCACGGTGTATCACATAGCTAATGCATGCCAAGAAACACTATCAACAGGACACAGCCTTTGAGCACCTGCTTGAGATACGGCAAGCCGTCATCCTGGGAGCGGGAGCAGTTGTAAAACAACACTGTCGCGCTGTGGTGGTTGATAGTCTTCTGCGTTACTAACTCCTTGAAGACCGAGGCACATCTGATCCCGAGCTGCTGGTGATGAGCCTCTGTGACACCTGCGAGAAGATGAGAGCGAACAGAGCTTCGACGGCATGACCTGGGCAGATTCACCGCATCACCAGCGAGGTTGTCACAGTCGATATGCCAATCTCCATCTGTAATTCTCAGACGAGGATCTGAGCGCTAGCGCGAACGGTCCGGACCATTGCAGGAACCATACCTGAGCTTAGCATTGCAAGCATCCTCATGTTTGATGCTGTAGCCGCGCCAGCAAGATAGTGCATGAAGTCAAGTCGGAGAGTCATTCGCGGCTTTTGTGCAGGCTGCCTTGATGGACGTCTGCTCCGTCAAGCCTGAATCACAGAACCCCGCGCGGAATTTATATGGATTTCGCGGATATGATATTTGGTGGACTGCACCGGTTATCCTTAAATTCTGATCTTATGCTGAAGCATTTCCATCCGATCGGCAGACGGGGTGGGGCTTTCTCATGGCTTGCACGATTGTATATAGGCCGGCTCTGTAACCTTGACTGGAACACTGGCTAATAAGGCCGTTATTGAATGGCCGGCAAGCTGGACGTGCCGTCGGATATAGTAAGGTTTGCACTTGGGCCTTGATTGAGAATGAGAACTGGAATCAGATATCAAAGCAATCA